TTTTTTTTTTTTTTTTTTTTTTTAATTTTTTGTTTATAAAAAAGATACACTACATAAATAAATAAATAAATAAATAAAGGGTGTGAATTTACCTTCTGTCATTGCAGGGGTTGCCGCCGTGATCCCTCCCACAGCAGATAAAACTGAAGTAAAAAAATTCAAAATTAATCTATTTAATTTATAAAATTTTAAAAATAATATTGCAATTAATTTGTAATGTAGAAGGGGAAAAAAGGGGGAAAGGGAGACCTGAGATACAAGGGGTGAGAACGCCGTCGCCGATAACCATGGCGGTTCCGAGCATCGTCGCAAAGAGAAGAAAGACCTTCGCAAAATGGCTGTTCTCCAGCGCCGACTGAATCCTCGAAGCTCTCTTCTGTCTCCGATTCGGCAAATTCAATTGGTAATTGGACACCTCTCCATCCTCCATCTCTGCGTTTGGAATCAGCCCTACTTTCGCATACCGGCAAATCAGAGAGTACAGTGCGAAGGTTCCGCCTGGAAAATCAAAATCAAAATCAAAATCCGATTCCGATTCCGAATCACAGAAGAATTGAATGAGGATTTTACCATCGCCGTTGTCGTTGGCTCTGAGGACGATGAACACGTATTTAATGACTGGAATGAGAGTTAAGGTGTAGAAGATCAAAGACATCGCTCCTAAAACGTCGTCCTGGTGCTTGATTCCCTTCGGAAAGATGCCGGCGTACACGTAGAGCGGCGAGGTTCCAATGTCTCCGTACACAACTCCGATGCTCTGGAATGCTAGTTGTAATATCACACTCCATTTCTTCTTCTGCCAATTTTATTTGAATTATTATTAATATATGGAACTGAAAAAGAAGAAAAGAGGAGAGAAAAGAAGAGACCGACGTCGGCATCGGAGTGATCGCGACCATGGAGTTTACGGGACTCTAAATACAAGGAGTCGTGTCGCCGGAGATTTTGCCACGACATTTTCCTCTCTTGAGGAGTCGGAACATCGGAACCAGACGGCGCAACTTCTTCCTCTTCTATGGAGACGACGGCGGAAACTTCCTGTGCACCACCGGAGATCCGGCCAGCCATTGGTGGAGAAATTAAAAAGGGCAGAGAGAAAATAGAAGATGTGAATTAATTGCGGGTGTGATAATTATGTAAAGAAGAACAATATTTATATGAAAAATTAATTAAAACAGTCCCATATATTCAGTTTAATTCTTCAACTTAAACTTATTATTTTATTTTTTACTTACATAAATTAAATATTATAAACTTAAAATTATTTTTTTGGGATGGGGCAATTCTTTTGGTTTGTTAAACAAATTAACAAAATAAAGAAAAGAACCAACAAATTTAACCACAAATTAACAAAATATAGAAGGAAACACAGAAATGTTTCTATAATAACGTATAAATTAAAATCAATTTATGATATATGAAGAGGACAAATATGTTACTATAATAACAGTAATTAAATAAATAAAAATAAACTAAATTTTCATTACAATTTTATTTTCAAATCTGCATAACTTTAGCATATATATATATATATTACTTTTTTACTATAAGAAATAATGTAAATTACAGACAAATTTGAGAATTAAACAATTAATACAAGTTTTTATTAAAATTTTCAGATAAGAATCATAATTATTACCGACAAAATTGACACAGACTTACCATATATATTTTCTTAACCCATATATTTTTCATTAAAAAAACTCAAGAAGTCAAAAGCAGTTGATTTTCGGAAAAGAAAGTCAAATCCGATGTTTTTTTTACACGTGGGAAGTCATGTTTGACCAAAACTCACGAGCGACCTATGTGGGGTTGTCACGGAAAGGAAATGATTGGTCGCTGATTTTCCAAATAAATCTTCCAAACGCGTTTCCATTATTATTATGCCTTTTTAACTTTGTCAAACTCGATATTTATTCAAATTTGTATTTTCTTATTACATATTTCTCCTCTCCTAAATTACCATTTTAAGATTAAGCCTTTAATTTTGATTTCGACTTAGCTGACATGATTATACGAGTAAAAAAATAGAGATGACCTTTAACGATAAACTTTTGATGACGATGAAGAAACGTCATTTTGAATAATTGCTGCCTAAAATAACATTACTAACGACACATTCAAACTAGTTGACAAAGCGATTATATGAGTAACTGCTCTTATTTTAAAAGATGGAGATGACCTTTAATCGTAAACTTTCTACGATGTTGAAGAAATGTCATTTTTTTTAGCAATGGTGGGCTAAAATAACATTAGTAACATCACATTAATATAAATAAAAGGATTAATATATATGTATATGATGTCTTTCAATACCGGTCTGTGACATTGCTCCGTCCAACCAATCTAATCATTAAACCATTAGCTATTTATATATAAATTCAAAATTTTAAACTTTATTTAACCTACAAAGCAAAGATTTTAGTGTTACCGAGAGTAGTGGAGTTGAGAAATCGTTTATCGAATCGCCAGATGCTCTGAGTGGAAAGAAACGAGAGGCAAGATTGGTCTTGAATGTTGATCAATTCGAGAAACGTGGACATGTTGTACACTGTTGGGTCTATTGTAAATGTTTCATCGATGATCACCTCCACAGTCTATCTAGAAAAATAATAGAATACTAAAAATAACAATAAGGGATTTAATAACTTTTTCTTATTTTAATTAAGCTTATAAACAATACTTACGCATAGAATGCCATGAAAGGCATCTAAGTCGTCGGGATTTGAGACGTTGTACGTGATTTTGTTGATGGAGTCATCCACATTCTCTCCTCCCGCATCTTCTACGTACTTTTTCAATCCCATCACGGTGTGTTAGTTAAACATATATAGGCTTATCATGAACCAAACACAAGGGACTAAATCGAAACAAATGAACGTTACCTTAAGCTTGTAAGCATCCTTTGTGAAAGACCACATGCCCTGTTGAAAATTTTAAATTAAAAAGAAAAACAAAAAACAAAAAAAATAATTTTATTAATAAATAAATAGTGTGGAGATTGTAACATCAGAGTAACCCATCCAAGCAACAATGGGTTTGAAAGTCTTTCGGGTGGTTGCCATGTTCTTCAGGCACATGTAATTTTCCTTCATCTACGTAACATAGGTTAGGATCGATACCAGTTGTTAGCTCTGATACTAATGGTTAGTGTTAAGGATATTTAGTAATAAATTATAGTTTACAATATATATTATATTTGATATTTTATTATAAGACAAATATCTAATATTTGCCTTAGTATCATAGGTATCTTTCCATTTATTGTTATTTCCATATCCTTGTAATTTATTTGATTATAAATAAGATAACTTTCACACCATTTAAGTGTGGTGGATTAATCAAACATTCACATGGTATCAGAGCCCTCTCGGTTTAACAACCCCGATCTTTTCTTTTCAATGGCTTTTGAATCCTCTAATCTTCTTCTCCACCACCCCTGCTGGTTTTGACGCCTCAGGGGCAGTCTTCATGGCTGCCGCAGGCGGAGCCGATTGATTACTCTTCGGCTCCACCCTATTGACCTCCAAATCACCTTTCGTCATACTCTGTACATACAACTTCACCTTTTCTAACCTAATCGGTTTTCCCCTTGGCCAATATAGTCTCTCTCATTTCCTTCCCAATCAACCCTTCATCCTTCACAGAAACACTAATCTCAGGATCCTCATCAGTGTTCTCTTCAGAAATATACGGAATCTCGACAAGCCCATCAACCTTTTGCAGAGATTTACCTTCGGAATCTGGGTGCCGCACTGGCCTATTCGCCAACCATGTTGCCGCAGCCCTTCCTGCCAAAATTGGCTCCTTCGCCCAATGTGGCGACTCTTCCAGCTTCAACATTGTCTTTGTCCCTTGCTCTAGGTTTCCCCTTCTACTTCTTGGGGTTAGAAATATTCTCACCAGAGCCAAGGCAGCATCGTCGCTAAGCGACAATCCCTCTTCATGGGTTAGACATATTCTCGCCGAAGCCAAGGCAACATCGCCGCTGAGCGGCGATCCCTCTACAATTTTTGATGGCCAAGAAAGTGTTTCTCTACACCTCCTCTGAACCAGGTTGTTGATATCTTCACGAAAAGTGTTTCTCAATCTTTTTGAATTTTTCAGATTCAAGTTTCACGTTCGTTTAAATCCGACGCTTAGCTTGCGGTGGGGTGTTAAGGATATTTAGTAATAAATTATAGTTTACAATATATATTATATTTGATATTTTATTATAATGCAAATATCTAATATTTGCCTTATTATCATAGGCATCTTTCCATTTATTGTTATTTCCATTTATTACTATTTCCATATCCTTGTAATTTATTTGATTATAAATAAGATAACTTTCACACCATTTAGGTGTGGTGGATTAATCAAACATTCACAGTTAGGATTGCTCAACAACATACACTCGATCGAGATGAACACAAAGAACATGAGAGAGAAAATATAAGTAGCAATATTGGGTAAAGGTTTTATTATTAATGATTCACGTAGAGAATACAAATAATGGTGAGAATACATTTTGAGAGCACTGACTATTGATGTATATATATATAGTTTCAATTTACTAAATAGAGCTTCCAAATATATATCTACCAAATTTAGGCATCACTCCATATCCAACAATCTACCACATTGGAGACTAATTTAGTCAACCAAGAACTTCATTCTCAATATGTACCATACCAATTGAGGCTTTGCAAACCTCAATGTTCCAACATCAAGACAAAATGTTTGCTGGATTCCTTGCACCCTCTATCTTCTCCAAACACATCACCATCTTCAACTAACCTCCGAGTGAAATGGTATCACCTTATGTGTTTTGAATGATAGATCGGGTTTCTCGCCAACTGCATGACACTCTAACTATCGACCTAAAGAATCTTCTCGCGCTGCTTCTTGCCTAATTCTTCTAGATAGTCTGTCATCTATATCATCTTCTTTCCAGCTTCAGCTAATGCCACGTACTCAGCCTCAGCAGATGAAAGAGCAACGCATGTATGCCATAGACCGTTGATTTTGGCAGCTGCAGGGCTGCTTAAAGGTTGGAAGTGTACTGATTGCTGCGGGTGCTTCTTGGATTGAGCCAGAAAGTTTGGAGGGATATCCTTGTTTCTATTAATTGTGTTCAGAAGAATACTGAACTTACAGGATTACATGGAGGACTACGAGGTAACTGTTCCATTTCAATCCTTTCAAGCTCTTGGTTGCCATGTTGATGCAGTTTGTCCCAAGAAAAAGGCGGGTGATAGACATCCAACCGCTGTCCATGATTTTGAAGGTGATCAAACTTACCGTGAGAAGCCAGGACGTAATTTTACATTAACGGCTGATTTTGAAAGCTTGAATCCATCAAGTTACGACACCCTTGTAATCCCTGGTGGTTGAGCACCCGAATACTTTGCCCTGAATGCTCAAGTTATTGCAATTGTCAAGTAGTTGATGGAAGCCAGGAAGGCAGTTGCTTCTATCTGCCGTGGACAACAGATCTTATCTGCGGCTGGTGTTCTTTAGGTATTGATATGATCCTACTTGAGTTGTCTGAAAAATTCAAAATGTTGATTTCTTTTTACTTTGGAAATGAGAATGAAGTAACAGTCATCATGGAACCTCATGATCTAATACGAACCAGTTACACCTGACAAACTTGTTCGGATTTGAAAGTTATTATAAGATACAAATGCGATATATTTTCAATATGTCTCTGTTAATAATAATAACAACATTATTGATTCTTCCACTGTTTGTTCATTCCCAATGATTCATACTTCTTTGATGTATAAGGGAGGAAATGCATGAATGTCGAACTGAGTGGGGCAACACGGTTGAAACCTGATCCACTCGACCGATGCTTCACAGACGGAAACTTGGTTACTGGGGCAGCTTGGCCTAGCCATCCTCAGTTCATCTCTCCGTTGATGACACTTTTGGGTATCCAAGTAACATTTTGATCATGGCTTAACCAGGTGAGTTCATGTTCAACTTAGTATAAGTGCATGCTATGAAAAGAATGAAATAAATGTTGCATAACGTGATGTCTTGCTTATACCAACACTAATCTGTATTTTGCTTTTTCTGGAAGTGATGTGTTGTAGCTTATGTTCCTGTTGGATCTGTGTTCCTGGGCTTAGCTTATATGAATGCTTACGTTTTGCAAATTACCATCCTTTTCTATTTATGAACACCGGAAAACTTTGAACCAGAAATTCTCCTACTTCCACAAATGGTAGTTAATTACTATAATCAAAGTGTTTACAAGTGTATCTCTCACACTCTCACTATAAATTCTCTCCTACAAAATTCCTACTAAACAAATTTTTATGGAAGCATAACAATATAAATGTTACACATGAATGTGATTGGTTTTATTATCGAGTTCCAGAGATGTTCTTGACATAAAGTTCATATATTCAAGATAAAAAATTATAGGTTGGTGTTCAATCCTAAGTGTGATACCCGATACTCACACCACTATGTTAAGAACATTAACGATCCACTTCCTTTTCTTAAAACCAACCACATGGGTTTACAATGACGATGAGAATTACTATTATGACTTACCAAATACACCATTGCTAAAGACATTGCCTTCAGCGGCTAGTTTTTGAGTTCACAAAATGAGAAAAACTCTTGATTTTGCTGAAACGCCTCCATTGCCTTCTCCTCCAAGCACACTATCGCTTCGATCCCGTCGCCATCTTTGGTATCAATGAATATAATTGAATCCTTCGCAGGCAACTCGGGGACAGTGACCCATATGGGCTTCCCACGTCCAAAATCTACCTCGTAAAATGAAAATTTACACCAGCTGCTACATGAAATCACCGCCACATCCCCTTCATTTCTCGGCCTCCCCATTGATTGTTTCGCATGTAATTTGTAAAGCCAACCCCATTCTTCATCCTTGTAATCTCTTGGGAACTTCTCACAGAGCTCCTTTAAGTTTCTCTTTATGTCTCCCACTATGTCCCATACATCCTTCTCCCTCTGCTCCCATGTGGTCTCTGATGCTATGCAGTGTGAGATTATGTTGCCTAATAATCTCTGCAATGGCGGCTCCACTCTCTGCCATAAGTTGATCACAAGATGCAGTTCACTTGTCCCGCCCAGACAGCCTATATTGCACAACAAATTAACACCAGGAAAAAAACCATACTTCCTACATGTCCATAAATGCCACTCGATACCAAAATACCAATGGTTGGAGTAAAAGCGGAAGCAACGTCGATCATATTCACAAACCCACAAACAGAAATTAAACAAATAAACACAAAGATTTACGTGGTTGGTTCGAAAAGAAGAAATTCTCATACATCCACGGGTAGTAGCCAATCACTATAACCAACACTATCATACTACAAAGTCTACAATTGTCTTTAAACAAATGCAAAAGGACAATAACTTCATATTTCAAAATAATGCTAGACTAGCCTTTATATAAGTAAATGTATAATCAAGATGATTCATATATTAAAATGAGAATATTAACCTGAACGAAGAGTTAATAACCAAAATAAATTAGAATATGAATTATTAAGAATCTTATGACAAATTACAACAAGCCAAACTAGTATTAACGTACCCGGGACTGAAGATTTAGCAGAAAGGACAGCTTTGTAGATCAATGCAACGACAAGCTGAACACGAGTTGGGTTGTCTACTTTCTCAGAAACCATAGCTTTAAGAGCCGCAATCTTTGAACCTTCAAACGCCAATCTCTTAGAACAAAGTTTTGGAAAGGACAATGGAACTTCCACTCTTTCATTCGTTCCATAAGAATCCTGGCAGCCAGATGGGTTGTCGCTGACGTCCAACTCAGGCGGAAAACAGGTGGCGCCGTTGATCTGAGGATTGACAACCGGCAGATCGCCGTGGGTGAAGCTACGAGCAATGGAAGCCCAATCCCTCATGAAGCGGGTTACAGAGTGCATATCCGAAAGTTTGTGATTGAAGAACACACAAATCACTTCTCCTCCACATTCAAACTGGGTCAACTGAATAGACAACATAGATTTGACTTCTTGTTCCTTCTTATTCATGTCATCTAAAAGAAGCAACTTCAACTTCTCTTCCCGTTGTGAATCTTTGTCGTTCATAACGTCCGTCATCGGACAACGCCACCAAGAACGTTACACCCATGTCGCTGCACTCGATATAGCTACCATGTCCTTCTAAATTACAAAAATGTATATTAATAAACATATCCATAAATTATTTATTTTATCTAAAAAAACATATGGGTAGCAAGTATGGTTAAGGAGAAGTTTCCACACTTTTATTAAAAAAATAAAATGCTTTTCTTCTTTCCAACCGGGAGCGATCTCACAATCTAACCCCTTTTGAGGCTTAGTGTCCTCGCCTATACTCATTCTCTTCTCCAATCTATGTGAGACCCCTTAGTCCATCCCTTCGAGGGCCAGCATACTTGTTGACACACTGTCTTATGTCTACTCTTTGGGGCTGTTGGGAGGTTCTCACACCCTTATAATTTCGCATTGAAATGTTATAAAGTTAAAAAGAGTTATTGGAGTGTTGGGAGGAGTAAAACTTGAATGAACAGAGAACAAAAGGGTTTTACGAAGAAAAAGCTGTAAAAATTCACCGGGGTGTGAGAAGTGTTTGGAGGCAGGCGTGAGGTGGAGTGTGCCGGCGAAAGGGTAGTAGAAAGTAAGGGCCTTTGAGAGGCTGTCCTTGAGCAGGCGATGGTGGGCGGAACTGACATTGTTGCTGTAATTGAAGAAATAGAGCATTGGTAGGTAAACGTTAGGGGCATGTAGATCAAACAAACAGAGGGGCACATATCTGAGCTCCGCTGGGGTTGAAGTCAAGGGCTTGCTCATCTCTTCCGAAACTATTTGGAGCTCCATTGGACGTGTTTGAACTCCACTACTACTGCTGAGATTTAAAATTTAAAGACAGCACGCAACAACAGTTTCAAACCACGACAGGCGGAAATTATCGGGGAATAAAAGGTGACTTAATAACTAAACCAACCACTCTAAAAATTATTATAAATAATTAATAACTTCATTTTTAAATCAACTGAACTAAACATTTTTTGCAATGGAATAATTGATTATATAAATATTAAAATATCATTGAAGTTACGTTATGGAATTACATTTGACAACATAAATTTAACAACCCACTTTTTGATTGATTAGGTCTATTATGAACGATAAAAAATAAAAAAATAAAAAAATAAAAAATAAAAAAAATTATTTCGTTTACAAAAACTAATTTACGGGATATCTCATATAAAAAAGGCATGCATGTTAGACGAACACTTTAAGCATAAGCTCTCATGGCTTTGCTTTGAGCTTCCCCAAAAGGCCTCGTACCAATGAAATTAGTATTCCTCACTTATAAACCCATGATCATTTCTTAAATTAGCCGATGTGGGACTTTCATCATCCAACAATACACATGACAAATGAAAAATACCGAACTATTAGACCTCTATAGCCTCACAACTCCGGAATGCTCCCATCATAGATATTAGGCTATTAGAAGATAATCCTTAACTTGGGTAGCTTACACAAGCTTTTGTTGGGTCATGAACCCTCTAATCCCTTGTTGAGTTATGAACTCCTGCATGTAAGAGTTTATTTTCTTATTTGCAGAGGTGAAATAGTTGTTAGAGTAGATTTAATATGTCGGTACTAAGAACATAATTTGACAAGATGAAATTCACTTAAGATTAGTTTTAGGATTTGAACCAATAGGACTTGAACCGCAGTACTCTCTCAAGAGCCCGAGAGAGAATTAAATATAAAAAGTAACACTTATCAAAATTATAAAAAGTAGCTAAAGTTTATTAAAGGAATCATAATTTACAAATCCATGTTAAAGTATATAATTTGTTTTAAGAATCTTATTCGATTATTCGTCAAGCCAATAACATTTTAAAAAAATTTGACTTTTTTCTCTCTCTCTCTTTCCCTTGACTATAAATCTTGGGTATGGAACAGCCTCGTGAAGCACATTGAAATAAAAAATGAAGCTTGAAATATTGTGTAAATAAACCATCAAGCCCATGACTTCAACCTCGCCGGAGCTCAGAAATCTCCCCCTCTTCCGGTTTGATCAACAAGCCCTAACATTTACATGCAACTTCTTTATTTCTACGCCAACAACAACAACGCTATAGTCAGCTCCTCCAGCTGCCGTGGCCGGCTACTGAAGAACATGTTGGAAAAAGAGATAGTGAAAGAGATAAGAATAGAAAGAATAGATGAATGTTGCAGTGCTTTATTATTGTCTACTGACTTGATGCTTAGAGGGTTACACAATTCCCGTATTTATAACTTATACACTGGACCAGAAATAGTAAATCATCGAAATCTAGAAAAATTCAAATCAACTAACAATCTCCTAAAATCTTGGTAGTTTGAATATTTGAATCATATCTCAATTACTCTAAATCATATCTTTTTGAATACTTTGAATCATATCTCAACACTCCCCCCCTTGATTCAAAGTTACAAATGCCAAGTAATCGTCTGAAGTAGCAAAACTTTTCTTTTGACAAAGCCTTGGTAAGTATGTCTGCTAGCTGTTCATCGGTGTTACAATATTCCAAGACAATTTCTTCGTCTGCAACAAGATCACGAATATAGTGATGTCGAAGTTCAATATGTTTTGTTCTACTGTGAAACGCTGGGTTCTTTGTCATAGAAATAGTTGCTTTATTATCACAAAATATCTTTGTTGCCCCTTTTTGCTCTTGTTGAAGATCAGCTAACATACTTCTTAGCCAAATAGCTTGACACGCTACTGAAGTTGCTGCAACATATTCTACTTCTAACGTTGACAATGCCACTGTTGCTTGCTTCATTGAGCTCCAAGTGATCGCTCCTGACCCTAAAGTGAAAACATTGGCTGAAATGCTTTGTCTCTTTGCTTGTAACATACTTTTTGCCATCTCCACAATGGTTCGATTTTTTCGTTCAGCAATTCCATTTTGTTCTATAGTGTAGGGAGTTGTTCATTCCCTTTGGATGCCCTCTTCTTCACAAAACAGATTGAACTCTTTAGATATGAACTCGCCACCTCTGTCTGTTCGAAGAACTTTAATGTGACAGCCACTTTGGATCTCTACCATAGCTTTAAAAGTCTGGAACTTCTGAAAAGTTTCTAATTTACGTTGTAGGAAGTAAACCCAGCTCATGCGACTATAATCATCAATGAATAGTAAAAAATATATACTCCCACCCAAGGACTTCGTTTGCATTGGTCCACATGAATCAGCATGAATTAGTTCTAGACAATGTGAAGCTCTTCTAGCTTTTCCAATATGAAAGGACTTCATAGTCTACTTGCCATAAATGCATCCTTCACATAAATTAGTTGAGTCAATTCTTGGTAATCCGAACCTTTATGAGTATTTTCAGGCCGTTCATATGAAGATGTCCATATCTGAGATGCCATAATGTTGAGTCTTTCATGCTAGCAGCAAAAGCAAAATTCTTCATGTTAGAAATATGGAGTGGAAACATCTTATTTGAAGTCATGGCAATTTGAACTTTATGGCCTAATTTCTTATGTGTAATGACACATGTGTTGTCATCAAATAGAACTGAATGTCCTCTGGTCTTCAATTGTCCAACACTCACTAAATTATACCCTAAATCAGGTACAAATTGAGCATTATCTAATTGTTTTATCTTACCATGACTGGTTTCGACTTTCACTGTACCTTTTCCCTCAACTTGCATTTCTTTTGTGTTTCCAAGTTGGACCTTAATTTTTTGCGTCTCATCAAGCTCTTGAATAAGGATTTGGTGCCTCTCATATGGTTCGAGCATCCACTATCAACAAACCGTAAGTCACCCTTTTTTGGATTAGTATCCATGCACGCCATAAGCAGCTTTCTTCTTTTTCTTTATTCTCTGCTGCAAAATTCATTCGTTGATTTTTATACCAACAATCAGATTTTGTGTGCCCATACCTTCTGCAATGGTAACATTGTATGACATTCCTTTGTTCATTGAATTGTCTCTGTCCATCACTTCTCCATCTACCCTTGTTATCACGACTACCATGGAAGCTGCGAAATCCCCCTCTTCTACCTGCTAAATGAATATTTTCTCTTTCGTTGTTTTTGTTGTTGGTTGTCTCCTTCACCTGTAGTGTCTTTTCTTCGTTTCTTTATGATGCTCTATTGATTCTTGCCTCATGAGCCTGAAGCGAGTTCATCAGTTCATCAATGGAGAGTATGGATAGATCCTTAGCTTCTTCTATGGCAGCCACCACATGGTCAAACTTTGGAGTCAAGCTTCTCAACACCTTTGCAACAATTGTTTCGTTTGAAATTTTCTCTCCATAGGTACGCATCTAACTGACTATTGTCATTGCTCTTGACAAAAAATCAGAAATTGATTCGCCATTCGTCATGAGTAGAGTTTCAAAATCACGTCTTAGAGATTGTAATTTTACTGTCATGACCTTTGAATCTCCTAGAAACTCCTTCTGTAGAATTGACCATGCCTGCTTTGATGTGGTTGCTGCTGCAATTCGTGAGAAGATAGTCTCATGAACTGCTTGCTGAATAATGAATAAAGCCTTGGCATCGTTTTTCTTGATTTCTCTTAGTCTCTCCTTTTCTTCTATTGTGGGTTCTAATACATCAACAAACCCGTCCTCCACCAAGTCCAATAGCTCCTGCGATCTGAGCAAGATCTTCATCTTGATGCTTCACCACTCATATTTCTTACCATTAAAGATCGGTAACAACCGTGCAGAGGAAGAAAAGCCAGCTACTGTCATTTTTGTTTTGTGAAAGAAAATAATCACTCGCCCTCGTGTCGAACGAACCTGACTCTAATACCAAAATTGTTGGAAAAAGGAATAGTGAAAGAGATAAGAATAGATAGAATAGATGAATGCTGCAATGCTTTATTATTGTCTACTGACTTATGCTTAGAGGGTTACACAATTCTATAGCTTATATACTGGACCAGAAATAGTAAATTATCAAAATCTAGAAAAATTCAAATCTACCGATAATCTCCTAAAATCTTGGTAGTTTGAATATTTGAATCATATCTCAATCAGTCTGTCTTTTTGAATACTTTGAATCATATCTCAATTACTCTCAATCATATCTCAACAGGACAGCCTCTCAAAGGCCTTGACTTTCTACTACCCTTTTGTCGGCCGCCTTCGAGACGGAGGAAACTTCATCGACTGCAATGACATGGGTGCCATCTTCTCCGAGGCAAAGCTCCGGTGTTCCATGTCAGATTTTATGAACAACTTCAATTTTGAAAGGGAGGAGATTTTGAAGTTGACTTTTGCCGTTGACATCAATGGAAATGACCCAACATTCAATCCTTTGTTGTTGGTTCAGTTGACTCAATTTGAATGGAGGAGATGTGATGTTTGTGTTCTGCTCCCACAAAGTTGCAGATATGGCATCATTGACTAATTTCATGAATGATTGGGCATCCATTTCTCGTAGCTCCGACGACGGCGATCTGCCGGTGGTGAGTCCTGAGATTAATGGGGTCAGTTATTTTCCGCCGGAATTGGATGCCGGCGGTGACCCATCTGGTGGAGGGCATGGTTCGGGAACGGAGAGACGAGATGAAAATGTGATCTCTAAGAGATTGGTGTTTGAGGGTTCGAAGATTGCGGCTCTTAAAGCTATGGTTTGCGAGGAAGTGGAGAATCCAACTCGAGTTCAGATTCTCACTGCTTTCATCTACAAAGCAGTCCTCTCCGCTAAATATTCAGCCACAGGTGGGTTAGGTTTGGATAATCTTTAAATTGGATTCAATATCAATATGAAAATTTTAATATTTCGATAAGCAAAGAAAATCTTAAAAATTATCGAGGATCCAAGACCGGTGTTGTAATTTATCGTGAAGAACAGGTTCATGCATCTCGTATAGGCATGTATTGACATTTATTTGGTTCCGTAGACCTTTGGTTCTTTCTCATTTATTTTATTCATAATCCTTTGTCCTAGAGATTTTGGACGATGAGAGTGTGAGATATACACTTGTAAGGTTAGAGTGATTGACTATGTTGGGAGGGAGTTTCACATTAGCTAATTTAGGAATGATCATGGGTTTATAAGCAAGAAATATATATCCCTTTGTATAGGCAACAAAACCATGAAAGTTTATACTCAAAGTGGACAATATTATACCATTGTGAAAATTCGTGATTCCTACCATGGTATCAGAGTCATGCCCTTAACTTCGTCTTGTCAATAGAATCCTCACATGTAGAACAAAAAAGTTGTGAGCCTTGATTAAAGGGAGGCTGTTCGAGGGCTCTATAGACCTCGGGGGAGACTATATAGTGTACTTTGTTGAGTGGAGGATTGTTGAGAGGGAGGGAATCTCGCATTGGCTAATATACTAATTTAGGGAATCATCATAAATTTATAAATAACTAATACGTCTACGTTGATACCAGGCTTTTTGATTAATTTCTATTTGTGGGTGTGTGAGTGAGACTTAGGCTACAACCATTAGTACCATATTATTGTGGTTGGCATTAGGTTAAAACAAAAAGATCCTCACTTTTGTCTGTGGTGCTAATTTGTTCTACAAAGGGAGTCGGCCGGCGACAAGTCTGCTGCAGCTGATCAACGTACGCAGGAGAGTGGAGCCACCATTACCGGAGACATTAACAGGAAACATAATCACATTTTTCATAGCATCATCGACGGCAGCGGAGCAGAGGGAAATGGAGCTATGCAACATGGTGGGTGACATGAAGACAAGCTTTGAAGAGTTCTGCAAAACATTCCCAAGAAACTACAGAGATGAAGCATGGAGTTCGCTTCACAAATTACACGCCAAAGAGTCGATGGAGACGTGGAGAAATCCAGGGGAGCGTAGTGTGTATACATGCACCAGCTGGTGCAGATTTCCTATGTACGAAGCGGATTTTGGATGGGGGAAGCCTGAATGGATCACTGTGCCTGAGGCTCCATGGAAGAACATGATCTTGTTGATGGATGCCAAAAATGGCGACGGAATTGAAGCCATGGTCAGCTTGGACAAGGAGGAAATGGCGGCCTTTGAGCAAAATCAAGAGCTTCTTTCCTTTTGTGAACTCAAAACTGCAGCACAAATGCTTTCACCAATTGCGTAAGACATTTAATATTGATAGTGATTCAAACTTTAGAGGGTAATTAATGTTAAAGATTGTTGAGAGTTAGTTTCACGTTGATTAATTAAAGAACAGTGATCATGAGTTTACAAGTAATACATCTCTATTGGTGGATATTGCTCCGTATATTTGTGTAGCAAAATCTAATGAAGATTAGAGTTGTATACCGGAGTGAAATTAGAAGGGAGAAACCTTCTCTTTTTCTCGTTCCTACCACCTCTTTCAATCTCCACATTACGAACTTATTCAGTGGGAATTATACGGAGATAGAGAGATTTAAAGGAGAGTGGGTAAACTTTTTTTTACTGTTCGTTACAAAACTAGATTCCCACAAAATTTTCACCGTAAATCCCTATCTCGATCTCCAAGGAAAACCTGTAAGATCATGTATCGCCATTTGCAGCATGCCACCAATTTAAATAATATCTTTATACACACAAATTTATTTTTTTCAATTTTATTCATCAATAATTTTTAAACGACAAAATTCAACGCATAAAATACAAAAATCCGAGCTTTTTAAGATATTAGAGATAAAGGCCAACATGACAGACACATAAGACACTAAATACACGTACTTAGTCCAAATACCAAAAGACGAAAATAATTGTTGAGTTAAGCAACTTGTGATAAATTATTTGAAGATACACAAAACCCAAGATTCATATTTCAAGCACCACAATAAGTTTTGAGGGCAGATTGAGCTCTTTGCCCAGCTTCCGTGTAGTAGAACTGAAGGAACTCAACATGATCAAATGGGTTGAACAGCAAAGGATGTTCTTCATCCACAAGCTCCTTTGGTGCCTTTATCATATACCCTGCTTTTGGGATTGAGAATAGCCCCGCTGAGTACCTTGCTTTCTCTCCACTCATCACCACTCTATGATATGGAGAATACAATCTTCCATTCGTCCACGCCTGCATTAACGATCCATCGATCGATCGATCAAGTATCGATCTAACTCGAACAGAGAAAACTAAAAACAAAATTGTATCGTTACTCACGTGGAAGGAATCTCCGATCATGACAACGAAGGAGTTCGGGGATGGTTGGAAGCTAATCCATTTGCCATCTTTGGTCTGTACCTGCAAACCCTCAACATGGTTTTGATATAAAATGGTTACGATGTTCTTATCGGTGTGGGAATGAAGGCCAAGCTGTGTGTCATTGCTTTCAGGGCCTTTATATTTCATCACTCTAAGAAGATAGTTTGTTGAGTCCAAATGTTCCTCCATGTATTTTTCAACTCCCAAGCTCTCTACAACCATCCTCCTCACCATTTTGTCTAGTTCTGATAATTGTTGTGAATATGATTCGATAACTTTGCTGCCAAAAATCCAAAATTTAAACAAGAAACACTAAGAAGTTACTTGAATCTCACGAAATTTGTTGAGTTGAGAATTATTGGGAAAGAGTCCTACTGTAATCAGATATTGTCCTCTTTGACTTGGAGAGGTTTCCACATCCTTATAAAGGATGTTTGGTGATCCTCTCAATCAATGTGGGATCTTACAATCCACCCCTTTAGAGCACAACGTTCTCACTAGCACTTGTTCCCTTCTTGAATCGATGTGGGACCCTCTGATCCACCCCTTCAGGCCAGCGTCCTTGCTGGCACACCACCTCATGTCCACCCCCCTTCGGAGCTTAGCCTCCTCGCTGGCATATTGCTCGGTGTCTGGCTCTGATACCATTTGTAACAGCCGAAGCCCATCACTAGAAGATATTGTCTTCTTTGGACTTTCTCTTTTGGGCTTCCACTCAAGGTTTCAAAACGCGCATGCTAGGGAGAGGTTTCCACATACTTATAAAGTGTGTTTCGTTCTCCTCCCCAACTGATATGGGATCTTACAATCCACCTCCCTTTGGGGTTCAGCGTCCTCACTGACACTTGTTCCCTTCTTTAATCATTGTGGGACCCTCCAATCCACCTCCCTTCGAGGCCAGCATCCTTGCTAGCACACTGCCACGTGTCCATCCCCCTTCAGGACACAGCCTCCTCATTGGCACATCGCCCAACCCCACCGCTAATAGAGGATAATCATGTGTTTATAAGTAATGATTATATCTCTATTGATATGAGACCTTTAGGAAAACCAAAAGCAAGACTATGAGAGATTATGCTCCGACAATATGATACCCACCATTATAGAGAGTCGTAGTTCCTAACCGAATCCAATATGAATTGAAAAGAAAGAATATACAAACCTGAAGGTTGGGTTTCCTTGAGGCCAGAAGATATTGGCAAAGCTTTGGACCTTTTCAGGTATGGTGGAGTCATCCACGCCCATGCTTTCAAAAAGTGGAGCCATTGGGTATTGTCCAACATAGCCATGGAAGGGCTTTTTAGAAACGTTTCTGAGCTTGGTTTGCAGAGGGAGGTCGAAAAGCTCTTCAAGTGCTTCGAACAGCCCCTTTCTAACCTCATCGGCCACTTTGTCAAAGGAGGCTTCGAAGCACCCAAATTCCTGGAGTGCTTCCTTCACTAGTGCTTTTGCCAACTCCCACTTGGGGCTGCCTGCTTCTAGGTTGGAGAAATCTATGTGGGGAAGCTTTAGAGAGGGTTCGCTATCCATTTCCCTCTGGTCAATGTGTTCTGTTGGAGAGGGTGTGGAGAAAAATGGTTGGTTTTGTCCCCTTTTATACACCTCATTATTGCAATCATTAGTTTTTTAACTGACAAGATTCAAGTGTTTAATTTCATTCTCGGTGTTAATGTTGGTTTAGTAGGGTGTTTTCGACAAAAGTATTCTTTTCGATCTCTATGCATTTCACCATTCCATCGAAAATTTCCTCGACGTGTCTAGAATCGAACCCTAACTCTTAAAATTAGACTCAAATATCTTGATCATTGTCTTTCGAAAGTTTTACGAGAGTTCTTCAAGTTCTTAGTAGTTGAAATAATTTTTGTAAGTGCTTAACAATTTAGGTTTGTGTTGTAAATATCGCCCAAATAGTTTCTCTAAATTGCTTACTCGTCTTCAAATGATAGTATGATCAAATGCGACAGAGTGGTCCAAAGTCATGAATTAATTAAGTAATGTCACCGTGTGGTAATACGTCAATTCATTCAATTTAATTATTAAAGTTGTTTCACTAAAATACACATTATAATTACTATATATATATATATACATGCAAGTGGGTCCCCTTTAAATTTTAATTTTTTACAATATAAAGTTTATTAAATTTGTGGAGTTAGATTTCTCTAAAATAATTATTTCTTGTATGTTTTTTTTTAAAAAAAAAATTGAATTAATTAGTAATTTAAATGGTTAATTCTCCCGATAGAAAATCTCCATTATTATTTTCTAAAACCTCCTGATAGAAAAGAAAATATTAACTACATAATTATCTAATTATTCTTATACTATTAAATGATCTAAGTTATTAATATATAAATTTGAAATAATATTTATATTGTCTCTATCTCGAGTAAGCTTACGAAGATTTTTTTTCTACCACTCCCTTTCCCATTTCCCACCTAAACCGTTAGGTGGGTTCTACGGGCCCATCTCCACGAAAAAAATGAGACATCCCTACTTATAACTCTGTACATCAATTTGATTATTCTACATCATATTTGCTAACGGTTTGTCACATTATCTAATTGACATTATATTGTGGTCCATAGAGTTCTTTTTTAATTAAAATAATATAATTAAATAAGAAAAACCTACGTGGCCTCCAAATTATTGATGTATTTTATTATTTGGGGTTATTAGACGTAAATCATATTATTCAAGCTCTGTAATTATCGATAAATTGTGGACTATGCTATTTGCAGTAACATAAATCATAATAACCTCATGAATTATTTCAAGAACTTTATTGTTAAGTTTTTAATTTATTTCTTATATACTAATTTTGGATTTGACCAATCATATCTATAAGATAAGATTATATACGATCATGAAAATCTAGTTATATTTATATAAATTGCATCAATAATTTATTTAGATTTCACCAACTCCATTTTTTAATGATTTGAAAAACATGATTTGTATATTTTTATTATTCTCACGTATTTGTATATTTTTAATGGAGCAAAACCACTCCTACTTTTATTATTAATTTTAAAATAGACTAAAATCTTAAAAAATGTTTTGTTTTAAAAATATCTTTAAATTTTCGAGCGTTTTAATAATATTTTAAATTTGTAGTTGAATGGTCACACGCTTGAATTTTGTTGATAATTTGTATCATAATCTTAAAGGCAACCACTAAGAAAGAAAGAAAGAAACATATACATTACTAAGTCCAAGTTAAAAAAATTCTTTATGATTGAACAACAGCGGGCTAGCTAGTATTGTTCGTTTTGGCCCGTTATGTATCATCGTCAGTCTTACAGTTTTAAAACGCGTCTATTAGGGAGAAGTTCCCCCTTAGGGACCAGTATCATCACTCACACACTACCGGTGTATGGTTCTGATATCATTTGTAATCACATTAAAAAGTAGATATTATAGTCATCAGTCTCATAATTTTTAAACATGTCTACTAGGGAGAGGTTTTTCTATTGTGGTCTCATCATCTTTGCTGATACAACGCTAGTATTTGACTTTGATATGATTTGTAACAGCTCAAGCTCATCGTTAGTAGATATTGTCTGTATTGGCCCGTTACGAATCAATGTCAGCCTTACTATTTTAAAATACGTTTACTCGGGAGAAGTTCCACAACCTTAAAATCATAAAGCTGACGGCGATATGTAATGAATTAAAGTAAGCAATATATGCTAGCGATGGGTTGGGCTGTTAGCATCACTACGAATGTTATATTTAGTTAATTTGGTTGTTGAGAAAATTGGTGTAAATTAAGAAAAAATAAATGGACATGAATTGCTTTTAAATTGATTATTTCCAAATTCAAACCTTAAAATATTGATTACACTAACAATAAGAGGATTTTTTTATTAAAAAAAAATATGAAAAATTAAGGGTTTAATTATTAATGAAAATTTTAAATCGAGTAATAATTT